CCCCAAAACCCCAAAACCCCAAAACCCCAAAACCCCAGCATACCAAAGATATATTGAGGGATCTATAAATTCCTTATTTCTGGAAGCCGACTTTCTGGATAAACTTGCAGTACCATCCTTTTGATGCCTTGAAACCTATAATTTATGAATAATTAAGATACTTTCATCTTGAGAGAGCACTCTGGCTTTTCTAGGATTATTATTTTAGAGCTTACTGACAAATGACTTCCATGTTGAGGTCTACATTTTCCCCTAAAGAATGATCAATTCAACAAACTTTTTCACTGGAGTATCCATTTTTTAAGAGTTTCTTCCATTTGGGGATGTCTAGTCTTCCTACCGCCTCCTTTCTTCCTTTGAGCACCAACTATCATCCATCTTTTTAGGGATTTTATTGGGACTTCAAGGTTATTTAGAAGCCTCCTTGGTTCCTACTTCAAGTGCCATTGAGACTAAAGAGTTACTGTAACAAGACTCACTAGCAATTTCTTTGAACTCTGCAGGGTACATTGTGTACTTGGATCTTCTTTTTCTTGATGTTGAAGACACAGTCTGCTCAAGTGCCCTTCCCTGAGTTATTTCTACTGATTTTCACCCGGAAATATCTTCCTTAGGCTGTTTAGATAGCAATTCAACTTTAGAAAGAATTTTCTGGTCGAGTTGCGTCTCCTGTTTAATTCCTGAAGTAGTTTGAAAATTATCAGTGTGCTCATAAGTAATTGCTAAGGGTTAGGAAACAGACTTACCACTGATATCATTGGCTTGTCAAAGTTTGGAATTCATATTTTTCTGCATATTGGGTTTCAGTCAGATATATACACTTTCTTCTGAAACCATACTTTCATCATCTATAATGATAAGAAGGCTGAGAGGTCTATACCTTCAATCTTAAAGTCATTGAAACCATCTAGGATAGTGATTTTTGGGTTTGAAAGACTGTAAGATTTTCAGTGTCTGGGCTTTGTTTCACTGAAGTTTTCAGCCTTGACCATGACTTGGTTCCCATAATTTGAAGGAAGTGGCTTTTGATCGCTAAACTGCTCTGAAGTTTCAATGTATTGCTCAGGCTTGCTAGTATTATCACCACTGTGTTTTCAATCGTCTTCACTATCTTTGCAATTTCCATCTGAAATCAGCCCATCAATTTGACTCTCTATCCTCCTAATATTTTCACACAACATCATATCTGTATGTGCAAGTTCATTCCTTCTTTGCATTAATATTCTAAGTAGTACCTATCTCCTATTAACCCAAAATACCTCTGATTGTTCAGATTCTCGCTCCATTGACTAAAAATTAACTTAAAACTACTAAAACTCACTTCTAAATTGGGGTTTTGGGGTTTTGGGGTTTTGGGGTTTTGGGG